CTGCCCATTAACTTAGCCTTTGTTAAGTACAATAATTTGGTTTTTTGATAAAGTGGGGTTGAAATATATTAAAATACATGTTGTTCCCTAAAACCAATGTTCAAAGTTCTACATAAATATCAGCTATTATAATTTTAATTTTTTGCAAAAGAATTTAAACGTAGTTTGTTATAAACTACAGCAGCCAGCTTCTTGTGCACTAATTTTTGACCGTCTCGAATCAACAGCTATTCAAAAACTGTGCAAATGCAGCAGTCAAGACTTCAAAGGTAGATCTCGATTGCACTGACTATTGTTAAAAACTGGTAACATGCGAATGTGAATTTAGAATCTCTTTTCATTTGAAGAGCTACAAGTATTTTAAGTGTAACAATGAATGTATACAATTTGGTGTAAAAGCGATGATAACTTTCATGATTTTGTCATACTTCATTCACCCAGTTATTCTCCGTTCTAATCTATCATTTCTTTAACTCAAAGGACTTTTTGTACAATTGCACCTTCTGGTATGAAGTAGATTAATTGAAAACCACTAAGTGCATACCATAAGCCTACAAGATCCTGTAGCCGCCTGTCGATAGGACCGACAAACGTAATCACTTGTCAAATTTGAAATATAATAAAGCTCAATAAAGGGTAAACTGAAGAGGTATACACTCATCCGTGCAGTTTTTAAGGTACCAAGCCATTCCATTGAGCCATATTGACTATGAGAGTAGGATCAGGTTAAAAGGGTTCGCTAGCTAGGTATCTAGTGATTGGTCAAAGCTGTTGCATCGTTCTGTGCAATTAAGAGCTTTTTGTGCTGGATTTGTTTTAAGATTAGTTAAAAAGCGTCCACAGGTAGGCAAATCGAGTCATACAACCTTGTAAGACATTCGTCGATGCCGATGGAAACAAACGGCCGAAATGACTATGGAAAGCCTCTTGAAGACCTACTGCCTAAAATTAGTAGATTAGACGCAAATTTTAGAAGAATGACTTTAGCTTTATTAGGTGAGTTGGTCCCTATGCGGTTATTTCTTTTTTGCTAAATTTTTGCTTCTTCTTCTCCTTCGGGATGATTTTACACTGGCAAATTTGTACCTTTAAAATAGTATAGCAATGATAGACATTTGTATTCAAAACCAAATAATAAGGAAAAGTTTACAAACCAGTAATTTTTATAAAACCACTAATATGTTGCTTTGACTTTTACAGGAAACAAATCACCTACAAACATTGATTCCAGTATATTTTAGGGTTTATTTACATTGCGAACACAGATGTTTCCACCTGCATACAATAAACACAAGTGCCTTGATAGCATAAATTTAATCTGGTAAATACACATTACAGAGTGAAAAAAGCTACCATTTACATGTCATAAATATTCTTTAATCTTATCATAAAACAGTGTGCGGTTGACTTGGTTTACATGTATACTTCTGTAGATGTCAACTCATATTTTGTTTTGATTTATAGCATTTACTCGTTTACTAAAGCTACTAATTGTTAATTTAGCAATTATGTATGATTGATGTGTAGGTAGAATTCAATGAGTTGCAACTTAACTGTTAGTGTCTACGTTTAAATAAATTCATCCTAATACGCACTTACTTTGCAGTTGGTTGTCCAATTTTATTTAAGCATTCAGATCTGTAACCAATAAGTGCGTTGCAAGTTTAGCGGGACCATTTACTTGGTAGTAAACTGATCAAAAGTGTTTTCATGAGATCATAACTAAAAACTCAGGAATTATCAGAAAAATAATACGACTCTACAATTTGCTTTAGGCACTTCTTCATAATTTCCATAAAAATGATAGCTTGAGAAGAAATCACTCAATAAATGCAGATGGCTTTCTTATTCTTGAGGAAATTTTCTTAAAAAGTGGAATAGTAGCTCACATTGTCGAAATTCTAGCCAATCAGCATCAAGAAAAGTGGCTTAATGACAAAAGATACCGGAATACACAGACCTTTTCTCATATAAATTCTCATTCCGTTTGATTACTTATCTACATTGTCCTGAAACCTTCTAAATACTCGATATCGTAAGATTTCTTAGGTATTTTGGAATAAGTATTTGGAATTTATGGGTATAAATGTTACTGATAGCATAGTTTCCGTAGTTGTCTTTAATAAACATCTTATTTACTTAAATGCCTGCCATTGGGTTACAATAAAAGATTCTGTGGTCATGAGCAAGAAAAACCTGCCTTTTTTCATAGAACCTCAATTCTTTCCACCATTCTACTTCTTTTCGCCATTTTGGAAGGGGTTATCTCCTTCGCCCTGCCAATTGCCAATGCTTTTTCGTCTCCAAAACACAAACAGCACAATAGGTGTTTTGAAGTAAGATGACACATTGTAATTTGAATTTCCCTTCTCGGTTATTTTTTAAATAGTTTACATAGTTTTAAAAACCGACTAAAATGCCTGTTCAAAAACCATAATTTGTTAAATGTTTAGTGATTTAGAACTACGAGTATTATAGGACAGAAAAAGTGCATGCAGGCATTTGCTTCACCAATTTGATGATTACTAATAGAGACTTCGATGGTATGATTTGCTTGCAGACCTAATTTTGCAAATGGAGCTGATTTGATCAAACTCCAACAAAGCAAAAATTGCTTTTCATTTAATTACACCACTCAAGGTGGCTGGTTCTGGGCAACACCTATTTTTAAGGCAGTCATGAATAAGAATTATGGATATTCACAAATGAACACAAGAGTAGAGTTAGAGTAGCAAAAGCACTTACTTCTCAGGGTGGAGGAACTTACGGTCCTTCTTTAAAAAGATTGGACATTTCATTTGTGGGGGTGAATTAATCAAGCATAGATCGATTGGATTCCATGTTGGGATAACAACTTGGCAAGGATTTTTTGGTGCTGGAATAGGCAAGTCAGCTTTAAACTTGAATTAGCCTTGACAGCAGAGACTATCTGGATCCAGGTTTTATGCTCACTAAGAGGACACAATAGTACAAAGTCACCTATTTTACTACTCTGCTAAGACGGCAAAGCTGTACGAATCATTTGGAAGCACACCAAAAACAGCCATTGCGTCTTTAACTAAAATGGCCACGAATTTGAGAATCATTATAGCACATCTAGACAGCAGGACTTCTGCACAAAGTAGCACTGAATTTAACCACTGTTAATAGACTTTGCTTTAAGTATGTAGAAAGGTTACATAAAAGGCATATCTGGTTCGATTTTTCAACGCAAATAAGTGCTAAATGCCTTCTATAAAACAAGTGGTAAATTTTGTAGGCATTCAAAATGCTGCAGTTGACAATATCCATATCAGCACTTGTATATCTCCAAGTCCTGCTGGAATATTATAAGTGGCGAAAGTGACCCTCAGTGGATGCCGACTTGAGCCGGAGAAACGATGGAGCGCTGAGCGATCCGTGTCATAACGATAGACAAGCTGAAAATCCTTTCGATTATATTGAAGAAAAGAACATATTATCAGGTAGTGGGTGCTGGTTATAACTTCAGTTTGTTTTTATGGGTCCTTTTTCAATAAGAATAAAACCTACAAATCGGAAAGGCAATCGCTCAAATGAACAAGTATAGCTTATATTAAATCGTTTCTTGACCATTAATATTTCAGTAATTGCACTGTTTAGCATAATCGTAAGGTTAAACATTAACATTGTTATTTTGTAAGATGTGTTTTAGAGAATTTTATTCAGTGCAAATTCAATATATCAGTGATTTTTGAAACTTCGACTAGTAATTTTTTATTTTTCTTATTATTATTAGCCTAGTATTTAAGAGCAACACTAGGCAACAAATATACGTTAAACCATTTGAAAATGCATAGTTTTTAACATGAGCCTTAATCTATGTTATAATTAAGCAAGTGTTCGTTGACAGGAGGAGGCATAACAAACTTTCGCATTAATATAACGAATGTAAACTTGACTGAAGTTTCACTTAGGATATAAGATAGGCAACATTTAGGTGGGAGGTAAAAAGACGTCGAATTTAACTTCAAAAAGACCAATTTTTCACCAGTATGTATCGTCATAAAACGTCGGCTTCCTGGTGCTTGGCTTCGCTTAAAACAGTACCATTTAAGACGGCAACTTTGTTCTTTGCAGCAATCTATTAACCAGACTTTAATAATGTTACCTGTGCTGTGTATTCGACGCCAAGCAGATCAGGGAAAATATTAATGAACTTGTAATTATTCCAAAGTTTATAGTAAAATCATATATTCATCAAATATGCCACTTTTTAGGTGTAGAAGAAACCTATCATATTGATGCAAACAATCAAAATGAGGATAATTTAAATCAGAATGTGAAGAATATTCCATATTTAAGACAACTTCTAGAAGAAATGGTAAGTACGCTGTTATGCATTTGCTATTACGTTTTCAGTTTAAATCACTTATTAAGGAAGAAATGAGAACTTCTTCCATAGCCCTGCGTGAGAATAATCAGAGTGTGCTAAAAGCTGACCCTGTGCTAGACCAGTCAGTCAGGCAGTCTTGATGACGAAGATTTCCCTGTAATGCTGCATCCCCGGGGAATAAACTTATACCTTCGCCTCGGAGCTATCGGTGAGAGACAAGATTAATAGGAGCCAAGCTGGCATTGAATATTTCCCTCTCTCAGTTATAGGAACTGCTTTTGTCAATTGCTTAATTAAAGGGTCTAAAAATGCATTTTTGACCATGTTTTATGCTAATGAAATTGGACAACTTGGAGAAGTGCTATTAAATGGGGTGTGGTGTAATATTGCAAAGGTGGTGGTCACTCAAAATACTACTTATCTAGCAACATCAGTGTTGCAGAAATTAAAAATTGTCAAAATTAAGGCTGGAGATAAGATGGCTACTTGAGCTAAGCGCACCTTGAATTTCTGTCGGGTCATTGAATGCAGAACTCACTTACGTTGACTGGCAGATCCCGTGCAAAACAAGGCGCAAAGTGAAGGGGCGTTTAGGTACCTACTCCTAACGGCTCATTTTTAGCGTTATTTGAAATCCACCTTTCAGATGGTCTTGGCCAAATTGTGCAAGCTAAAGGTAAAGACGAGGAATTCAACTTTAATATTATATTATTTTCTGTGCAAAATCTGAAAAATATCGACCTCTTCAAATAATTTATTTGGAGATACATGACGATGCATTATTAGCTAATTTCTAATAACATCAGAATTACAGAATTTTGAATGCAATCTAGCATAACAGCTCTTTATGTGTTGATATTTTGATTAAATTTGCCGTATCGGCAGCAGTGCCTTATCACACGGGAATGCAATAGCTACTTAAAGTTGACAAAATCAAATTTATCTAGCCATGTATTTTGTAATATCATATTTAATGGGAAGGTCAATATTGAATTTCCACAGACTTTAACAGTTTTTCATAAAATCTATATTCCTTAAGGTGTAAATTACACGACCCTTTTTCGGCAAAATCATGCCTCTGCGATAACAAGTAATATTCTTTATTGTCCTCTTAAAAGTCACAAATGCTGAATCCCTTTACAAAGCTCCGAATTCAATTGCGGTAAGAGTGTATTTGAAATTGCATCAGGTCAAGTACGCTGAATAGTTTTAAAAGCATCTACTTTGTTATGCTTCCAGTTTTTGGTTTTGGAGTTATAATCAGGAACGGTCTTTAAATTGCTGATTGGTTCAATGAAATCGGTGTGCCATCTAAATACCACAGTGATCTCTGGGTTCCACTCAACGTGATCCATTCCGTCTGCATATTCATTCAAACCTACTTTCTTTCTTTCTTTTTAGTACTTTTGCTATTGTTTTAAATGCTTTTTAATTACTTATGTGTTAAATGCAGCAATTCCTCTTCAAAATCACCGCTTGCATTTTCGAGGACTATTCAATAGGCATTCCATTAAAATACAGGATATTTTTGTCCCATTCAGATGCATATGCAATGCCTTCTGGACAACAATTTGTTTTATTTAAAATGAAGTCGAAATAGAAGTTTAATAAAAGCCAAATTTAGATGAACCGGATTTGATTGCTAATTGTTGAGTTTTATTATCAGACTACTGAGTTTATTTTCTGTCAATCCGCAGTTGACGTTTTGGGAAGTTACCTGGAAAGTTTGACTAAAGCGTAATTCATATTTTGATATTTAATGCAAGAGTTTAAAATCATAATATTCAGAATCTTCCATCTGTCATTTTTCTTCATAAATTGTCAAATTTTGCTAAAAATCTGCTAAACCAGCTTTAAATCATATTTCAAACCATCTTTGATCCAAGAATCGCATTCGCAGCCTTTTGAAATAGTGACTGTACATAATGGCTGAAACACGTTTGCTTATCCTTAACTAAAGACTTCTCATTAGTATCATACTTACAAGTGCTCTCTAGATTGTTGGGTAACTGGACTTTGTGACTTGTTTGATTGTTTACTTTTTAGGTGATATTCAATGTGCAGAAATTTGTCATTCGTTTCCTCCTCTATCACATGACAGTGGTCAATTTGGGGCAGTGGTCATGCGCTATTGTGCATGAAGTGATGGCTAAGTCGGCGGATGGTGGCGTTTCCATGCAAAAGTCAAAATCAAATGCTACATTGCTCCCCAATCACAAAGGTGAAAAGAGATGACATGCATAATTTCCCACATAAAAACGTCCTTTAAAAGTCGTGATATACAATTTAATCGTTACTTGGTGTGCAAATGAAGAGAAGAACATGATACTTCATTTTAAACTGATTACACCCAATGCTGAACAATGTGATTTCTGAGTAAGCAGTATGTAAACCAATTTTAAACCCATTAAAGTCACTTTAACTACTTACGTTTAAAAGTAGTTTTGACGATAGGTAGTGCTTGTATCATTGCAGATTGAAATAACCATGAGAAGCAAGTTATATCAGCGCAAAAAAATGCAACAAACAACAGTTTGGGTTCAATGTATTTATTTGTTAAAAATACACATGTGGCTTCTATTACAAGTCCATGTGCTTACCGCGATGACAGTCTATCACTGCCATTAAAGCATTTCGAAAGCTGCAACACTACACCACCCAAATTACCTATTTAAGGTGTATGCAACCAGTGAAACCGTTGGTGAGGAAGCAAATTTGTGTCGTTACCACACCCATTGATAAACAATTTTTCAATTTTAAATCTAATGTAATTGATGTTTCGACAGTGCCATTTTTACTTGGATCTTAGAATATATATATTGCAGGTTAGGAACTCCATTACATTTTACTGAATTCATAGCAAAATTAAGGCTTAGACAACAACGTTAGAAAGTCGCTGTTATTCCTAAGCCATTGTAGTGCCGAACTTCGCTTGTGCCCAAAGGATATCCTAAAATTTCAATTTTCTACTCCACACCACAGTGTGCTACAGAGATTAAGTTCGATGAAGATTTGTGAAGCAATGTTAGTCCACGCCTGCCCAGCTTTCCAAAAGGTGCATCAAAAGGAAGCACTCTTGACACAGTAAAAAACCTTTTTACATGCAAATTTCTTTTTTAAGCATATCCCAATTTGATCACTTCGGTGGTACAAGTTTTGGAACATTAACACCTCCAAAGTCAGATGGTTGACTTTCTCAAAAATCTAGTTACCGAGTTTGATAGCATCTTTCAAATTTATCCTTTTTAGTGAGGCCTCAAACAGCCACAGCGGAATTCGTTGAATTCCTGATTTTCTTGCAGTGCGGAGTACAGTCTCATTGCGTGCGCCATTTTCTGCAAGATAATTCAACGCATTGGTAATACAAGCTCTTTGTCGACGGAAGACAATGAAGAGGCACCACAGGTTTCTGCAGCGAACGGGTCAAGGAATCGGCAAGATTTCGACAAATATACTTTGATTACTATACGGCAAATATGTGCATTTTTGACCAGTTACTCACAAATGTTACACACTACCTCACATTTCATCTTCAAAAAACTGTGCATGCTTTACGTGTATTCGTTAAACAGCACAAGCGATTGTGGTAGAACTGCAGTAGCCAGAGCTGACCGACCTATTCGTAGGGCCGAAGAATATCGCAAGACCTCATGCCACAAAACCCATGGTTGAGAGAATTCGATTCTTGATTTGAGAAGGGTATATAATCTTCAGACTTATCTGCCACCTGTCTGTCAAACTTTATCAAATTTTCTTTGCATTAATATCAAACAGTTTTTAATTGGAAAGGAAATTCGAAAAAACAAAGTTAAAAAGACTACTTCTGTCTAATATTTATAATGTAAAGGTGAAAAGAAGCAAGGGTTTAGTCACTACTAATGGTGATTTGGTGTCCATACAGGCATTGCTCGAAGTTGCATTTATGCTCCAGTCACATTAGCAATATATGGATGGCTTCTAAACTTTGTTAACATTAATGTCGCCATGTCAACTTTCATCATTGTAAGTCATTCTCCTTAAAATATGGAAGGATGTAGTCAGATTTTTCATTGTAATTGCAGCTGTTCTTAAATAAACAACAAACCGTCTATAAGATCCAAAAATTGTCAGCAAGGCAAGCATTTGTCTCATAGAAGGGCATGGCATTCAAACATTTTCTAATGCATTTTACTTTCCGCTTAGTAAGATGCAACCATTTACTAAATTTTTGAGGTTTCTTTGCTCAAAACGCTGTCGATCCCGTAAAACGCTTATTTACTATTCTTACTGTATTTTTGTTTGTGATTAGATTTAGGATGTGGGAAATAAAAAAGATTAGCTCAACTGATGGAACTTGTCTTGCGATATTAATTGCAATAATGCTGCTTACTCGAACACAAAGGTAATACGTGTCTTTGAAGGTATCTGCTATAATCCTGCCTTTCGCATTCACCACGGTGCTAAGTATAGTTGGTACTCTAACTAAATTTTGTGCGGATAAAATTAGCAAAACAAAACGGAACTGCAGTCTAACGCTTCTATTTTCTTGCCTGGCATTTAAAATAAAAGCAACATTTTGCCTTAAGTTTAAAGCTTGGCCAAGTGAACTTCCAAATACATTGCAAGTCATTAGCCCATCCTCTTTACTTGTGATCCAGCAAAAAGCCAACTGAATGTCAGCGATCAAACAAAGGCCTCTTCATCGGTCTTCTCCTGATCACTGGAACTCTGGTGGGTCTGACCCTGGTGAACACACTGCTACAACAGAAAAGTCAGTGCACCGCTTTGATCATCTACCAAGCAACTGACATCACTCTCCTCTTCATTGGCACTGGTGCAGTGGGCGTGGCTCTTTTTCAAATGCGCGTCTTGGCAATGCGATATTTATCCGAGGAAAGTGCACTTGACGCCAACTTGCTACTAGTCAGTCTTCTTGGCGTCCTCTTCTACGATCTGTTTATCTTAGTTCCTGCAGCAGGAGCAAATGGGAACCAACGAGCTGTGGGGTTAATATTTGCTGGCAAAGCTGTGCTGGAGTTGTTGCAATCGATGTTGCAAGTAGGTGTTAAAAGGTTTTGAATTCTAGTGGATGCCTAGCAGTTAGTCAGGCAGACCATAGTATATAATGAAAAATTGATGATGATGCAATTGCTTATCAGTTCATACATTATTTAGAAACCTAAAGCGGTACCCAATATTGGAAAATTTTACAAAACTCTATTGGAAATGGTAAATGGAATTTTGCCCATGTCTTTCTCTATGGAGTTCATAATTCTGCCTGTGGTTTGCTGAATGAGCCCTACTATAAATCCGATTTACTAAAACACAGTTGCGGGCCAATTTAAACGTGGATGGTAGAAAAGACATGAGACTTCTTCCAAATGTAGATAATGTAGAACCAAATCGAGTTATGAAGAAACCGATCTGCAAACCAAGGCATAAAACTCAGGTGCTTATAATATGTATTTGTCACATTCCCTAGCATCCTCTACTCGCTTAGGATTCAGGAAAATTTACACCACTGATAGTGGCGTCTTACTGCTGGATGGCCCGAAAGCGATACTAACGAGCTGTCGTCCAGTCTCTGCCAACTCATTTGCATGCATAGATAAATGAAAAGTTAAACAAACAGGCATAACATTGAATAAGTTCAGTTTTGCAACGTGTTTTTTAACTTTTTTGTTTGCTCTACTGTGTGCAGAGCAAAATTTGGCATCTAATGCCGCCAAGACGCTAGCATTAATTAAATTGCCCCTTGTATGATATTGTGATGTTTATTTATTAGTCAAGTACTACATTTCCGCACACCCTAAGACCTCAAAGACGACACCGTGTAAAGTCTTGTTATTTCTGAAACGTATCAAGTAAATCTGTATGGACAATTAAATATTTATTGCCAACAGTATAGGATGTTTAGAATAAAGGGGTAAAGTATACCCATTTTAAAAATTGTTCTCAAACAGCGCAGCAAAATAAATTTTCTTAAATTATAGCTATTATTTTGATAATATATCGTCGCATATTTTGCTCAAAATATTACCTGGCTCGCTTGTAACCAAAATTTTATTTTTGCTACAAATTCTTTAAATACAATGATTTGGCAAGCTTAAAACTGTGGCTTCCTCAGTGGCTAATCAAAGACACAAATAGGAAGAAACGAAAGTTTGAAACAAAATCTTTTGATTTCACATAGGCAAGCACTTTTGAGGTTAAAGGCTGTGCAAAAAAGAGTTTTTAAAAAAGTCATAGGTTTTTAATCCTTGAATAACCATTACTTTCCACGTCATGTTCTGGGTGACTTCCCTTTTAAAAACTTGAGCAAGGTTAATTTTGTGCATTGCCATGGGTCAAAAGTATGGAAACTGTAGTTAATGTACTATGTTAACATCATTGTAGTGGGCTAATGGAACCTACATTACAATTTCTACCAAAACACCAAAATTTTTGCCACATGTCAGTGAATTAGGTGTAAGAGTCACTTCTACCGTTTCCATCATTAAGGCATTCTGAGAAAAAGTTGAGATATGACTCCCTAGTTCAATACTTGGGTGTCGACACTTGTTACGTTCGCTTTTAATGTACTTGAGTTCGTTAGTAAATAATTTTGGACTTTACCATATGCTAAAGACATATTCTTAATGTATGAAATGCAAACAATAGTGAAAATCTAACCAACCTAAATCTAAAATCCACATAACTTGTAAGAAATGTCCTTTTTGGGTAATTGTTTAGTTCGAGTGAATGTTATTTCATCAATTCTATTTGTGCTCACCTAAAACCATTTAGAAGCACGGGAGGCATCAAAATGTGGGTTATTCTTTTAAAACGGTTTAGCAATCAAAACTCATCAAGTAAGTTGGTGTTCAAACAAGAATTGAATAATTGATTTTCATCCGAAATTACGCGCTTTCCAACCTGTAAATAATTCACTTTCATCACATATGAAGGTGCTGCTCATTGTGGAAGCCTCACGGCGACAAGTCGCTACCTCGAATCAAGCGGCTGAGAAACCCGGTCGTACCATGATCACTTTTCTCCTCATTCTCAACCTGGCCATGTGGATATTAAAGACTTTTGAATTGAAACATGCCACTACCCATCCCATATACAAGTCACATTACAATGAACTCGTCTGGAAGGTTATCATAAGTGTCTCTCTTCTACTCGTCGTCTTCTTCCATTTTCATTCCACTGTCTGCCTTGCTGATGTATGGAGTTGCACCTACCGATTTCACAACACTGCATCCGGCAAATGACTTATCAAATTCTTAGAAAGAAATTACTAACATAATGCATAAATTGCACTTTTCTAAGATTTTTGTAAGAAGAGTTGCAACCTTTTCTGGGAAATTTTGATGCTTTTACCCAATTATGTCACTTATTTGTTTAAATAGTGCACCTTGCGACCAAAACGAAATGATGCAGCAATAAGTTCCGTCAATTCGTTAATGTGCTCAGTTTAAATGGCTGTGAAAAGGAGTTCGTGTAAAAAAATTATGCAAAATTTCGCCAATACGGAGGTCCTGCGATACTTGTTAGAACTAAGGTAAATTTCGCTAAATATCGCAAAAATGGAAGTAAAAGTAGGGGAAATGATAAAGTTACTTCGGTACACAGAATACGATAGGGACTTTAGTATACTCTTCAGTAAAACTATTATACTAACAATTTGTTATCTAGAGATGGCATCGAGATTCATTCTGCAGCCGAAGCTTTTGTATTCAGCAAAGCATTATGCATTTAGGCATTGAAAGCAGGAAATTAAGGCTTTAAAGTCCTAAATGACTTTTTTTGTACATGAGAACTTCAGCATTATTTAAAGTAAATAGCAGATGATACATTGCAAAAAATGTTAAAACGTAAATGATGATAATTTAATGGGGGTAGAAATTGGGTGGGTGTTAATGCCTAATATAACCCTTTTCTGTGTTTTTGTTAAAAACTGCTAAACATAGAATTTAGATTCCATATCTCGAAGGTTTTTTTGGAAAAAGCGATTGTATTACAGCAGCGTAGTTGATTATGTTTGATGAATTACGAGGATCCTCCGACATTTTGGGTAAGTCAAGAGTGCTACTGCACAACTCAAGTAAAAGTGGCCTTTGCCCTAATTAACAAACTGAGTGCACTGTTAGGCCTTGGTACACACAGCAGAACAGAAGCAAAACCGCTTCATATTCACATACATTATTCCCTTTGATCATACTTGATGCCGACTACTATTAGCAAATTGTTAGACATGGAACAGTGACAAAGGCCAAGTGAATTAGTAGTGTGACCTCTTCAAGCACTGCAGGCATTAAATCCGTTCGTTAAAGCCAAATCTTTCAAACACACACTTAATCAGCTCAAAGCAAGTTAATAACTCATACAAATCGCAGTAAAACACAAAATGCAAATGTTCCACCTAATTCCAAGCTATTTCTAGGTTGAGGCAATTGAATTTAAACGATGCAATTTTTTGAGCTTATTGTCATGAATTTCTTCAATTTGGGTAAACTTACAAATAAATCACTCAAGATTGGCAAGGTACTGGGGTGTTTTATGTAATGTCTAACCATGTGTTTAATGGCACGGAAGCCTGGGGCTCCAAATACTACACTTCTGCTCTGCCGTTTGGCCTGCGGGGGATGTTCGTAGCCCATCAGCCCTTGTGTTTATCTCTAAATTCCGTCCTTTTACACAACTTTAGTTTAGCATGACCTAAAAGAAGATGAGACAAGCTGAAAGTCATTAATCCTCATTCGATGTTGTCAAAATGAATGGGTAGCGCAATAATTAAAAAAAATTGGGACATGAAACATGGTGCAGGTAGAATAAATGGGCGCAGCTTAAAGCTAATAATTAAATAATACAAAGTGGACACAAAGGAACACCAACGCGTTATAAGCAGTGCTAAGAATGTCCATTTTAACATACTTTTAGGGAACGTCCAAGGAATTGACGTCAAACTCTTATAAAGTGAGCTAGCATAAACTCTCCTTTCGACATATACGCACTATCCTATTTCCATATCAAAAAGATAGAATAAAATACTTGGCCAGTTTGGCTAAGACGTAATCTTCAAAATGCAAGTTTTTGGCATCAGGTATGAATTTTAGATACTAAGCGGAGGTGTAAAAACCTGATACGAATTGCTTTATTTGGGGAATATGTATGATACTGCATTTAGGCCGCTGCTAACTTTGACTAACATAGTGAGCCTGACGAGGCAAACAAGTAGACATTTGTACAAGCATCTGACAAACTTTGATCAAAGGAGGATGTACCGAAGTGAAGAAACTTGTGTCCGTCGTGGAGGAGATTGAGCTGTATCAGCAAACGCGATTGTTATGCTCATTATCAGAAAGGTGGTTGACAGCATACAAGGGCTTAATAAATGCTTTTAGTAATTAGGAGTAAAGAATATTCGCAATCTGAAAAGCATTGGGGGCAATAAAACTTCTTGTCATTTTATTGTAAAACCTAAAATGTGTTCAAACTTTGTCACTTTATGTGCTTTAAATTGTAACTCGACGTGACAGTAAGAGAGGCATGGGTGTTGCATAACAGAAAATAAGTTGAAACCATCATAGATGCAATTTCTTAATTGAAATCTGATATGTTGCATTGAAATTTTTGCTTTTATTAGAAAGTGCTTTTGAGAAATTTATAAAAATATTAATGTACCTTATTCTAGGAGACTGTTATGCTGAAGCGCCTATTATTTACTCTTTCAAAATTAACCTAAGAGGCATTTGTTTAAATGAATCCAATTAAATGTCCAAACTTAATTATTGTCCGATAATCACATCAGAGGTATCAATTGCCACCAGCCAATATTCTTGCTGAAGCGAGGATCCTTAAATCGTAACATTTGAATGGAGGTGAGTAAGATAAGTAAGAGAATCAATCGCCACAGCAGTTTAATTCCAATTCGTTTTGTTTGCTTAACACACTTAACTCTGCTTCGAAGGCTGTGAGGTATCCTAGAGAAATACCTTACCGACTTAGGCGGATAAATTCTCATTTGTCCTCATTTTTAGGAAGCTGCTCCATTATTACTATGCCAAACAGAAATAGCATACTTTTGTGCGAATCACCCTTCTTCTTCCTTTTATGACTATTTGTCTTTGAACAACTCACCTGGAGTTGGTCCTATTGTTTGAGATTGCTTGCAAGACTCACACTGCAGTGTTGCGATGACATTCCTCCATAATAAAACGCTGTTGATTTGAAGCTTCTGGTATATTCCTTGGATCCTGAGGAAATAATTTGAAAAAATATATTACTACATCAAATTTTATGAGTTAATTTCATTGTGTTAATAATTAAGAAGGTTTCTAAACAATGGGTTGCCTTGCAACTCCATGTTTCAAAGATAACCCAATCGAAGGCGCACTTACAGGAGAACCGAAAAGTAAACTGAGCAACTTAACCTCATTTATTGTCTTCCACGTAAATCCTACCGTGCTTACAGTATTATCTTCCACCTTCTCTTTAATTGGCGAATTCCAAATACTGTACACCTATCCGGTGATTTGCTGCTTAACAGCAGAATATTTCCATTGTCCAAAATTAGCAATGACTACCTTGTATCATCGAGTAAAGGTTTTGAGTGTAGCAGGATTTATTCAGTGGTTTCCATTGTCATTTCTATGCTCAGTGCGTCGACATGTGTTGTATGTGCTCGACACGTAAATTGTGATGAAAAGTTGTCGGTAGACGACCCTTTTACAAGACTTTTGAATGCATCTATTCGTGAGACATTCAAACTTGTGAGAGGTCAGAGCTTTGGATCAGCATAAGGTGAGGCAACCAGTCGAAGCAGATATGTGAAAGAAAAGGTTGGGATTTTCCAAATTGCACCGATACATATGACTAAGCCTATGTCATATCATTCTACAGCTTGATCAAAATAACTGTAATTGCAGAACGAGAATGCAGAGGCCAGCAGTTCCTGTACCCGTTTTTTTGCCTCATCTCTCATGTGAATAACCAGAAGTCGCGGTAAGTGTATAGCCTTAGATGAAAACCATGCAAAAATAGGTATTAAACCCTAAACTAACTTAAATGTGCTCACCTGTATGGATCGCTTTTTACTTGCTGTGCCAATTTAAGTCTAAGAACACAGGGTAGTTTGCGATTAGCCTTTTTAGAAACGCACTCATTCAGTCCTAATGCTATATGCTTTATATGCCAATCAGAAGCTAAGGTGATTTTCTGCTGTGAATTGAGCCCTCCCATTTGATAGTCAATATTGACATCTGCACTTTGGTCTTTTACATAAAATCATTATGATAAGTTTATTAAAACATTCCTTCTGTGACCATCTTACCAAAGCTATGAACTTAGAATGGAAATTTAAAAAGGACGTCTATCATTTTCAAATGCTTTGACAAAACGTAGTTATTAACATGTAGTATTTTTGCAAATAATTTATTTTTTGGAAATGCATTCCAGTTAGCAAAACTCAAACAATGCTTTTTTGCTAAAATTTCTGTATTTTTTGAAATATGAGCTTGTTTTATCGCGTAAAGCAGTTGTTAGTAGGCTGCACAATTGTTACATTTGTATACATGTGCTTTGTAATGGAAGCTGAAGCTTTGGCAGGCCCTAATAGACCATGGCAATAAATAAGCAATTATTTTTATGCACTGAATCGCAGTAATTGCCACTGACACCGTTATGCGTGCAACCAAATACCATCAAAACAGTTTACGTTTTATATAAAATTCATTCTTTCATTTTACCGATTTAGTGCATATCTTGGCGTTTCCGGACATAATTATCAATTATTAACCTCACAGTTGAAATCTCTATTGTAAATTATTTGGAAGTGCATTCCGACTGACAAAACTCAAACGATGCTTGTTGTGCTACATTTTTAGTATTTTCCGAAACTTGAGCTTATTTTATTGCTTAGCGCAGTAATTAGCAAGCTGCTCAATTGTCACATTTATGTGTACGTACTCTGTGATAAACGCTGAAGCTTTGGCATGGCCTAATGGCCCGTGGAAATTAAATAAGCAATTATTTTAATGCACAGACTCGTCGTAATAGCCATTGACACTGTAATGCATACAATCAAATACCAACAAAACAATTTACGTTTGATATAACATTTATTCTTTTATTTTACCGATTTGGTGCAAATCTCGGATTTCTTGACATAATCATTCATTATTAATCTCACAGTCGAAATCCCTACTATATATTATGCAGTTAAGCTGACTCTGCGATGTATTATTAAATTCTGCAGTATTTTTCCTGTTTT